TCACTCTATAGACCAGGCTGGCTTCAAATTCAGAGAGCTCCTCCTACCTCTGACTCCCATGTGCTGGAATTAAACATAAATTTAACAGCTCCTGGCTGCCTCATAATACAAAGGCACTCAGTCCAGTTTCCAAAGTCCCCACACTCAGCCTGGTGTGGCTTTACCGCGCGCCCTTAGTCCCAGCACTCGGGGCAGACGCTGGCAGATCTCGGAGTTTCAAGCCACTCTGATCTTCAAAGCGGGTTCCATGAGAACAAGGGCTACCCTCCAGAAGAGGAAGTTGTGTAGTCTTTATAAACAGCCTCAACGTGATCCAATGCAAAGTTTAGTGCCATCCCTCCATGGTGACTCCCCATAAAGTAAAAACAGCATACATCCACCAAGTGCACATTTCTCCCCAAAGGGGACGAACCCAAACACAGCAAAGAATTACCACCAGACTAACGCCCAGGAGGGCAAACCCCAAAGCTTCCAGCTCCATGTCTGCCACTTGTGACTCATGATGGAGTCATCTTGGCTCCTCAGGGCTTGGTAGCCCCACCCCCTCCCTCCCAGCTGCCCCTCAAACTCACAGCCTCTCTCATGCCACACCCCTAGCACTGGAGTGACAGGTGGGTGTTGGACAATGAGCTTCAGCCCTCTGCCTCAGCCACATGCACTCCGAAGCACTGAGCACCTCTCCTGAGGCTCTGGAGGTACAGACTGGTGAAGCCTTCTTCCGGGTGCTGGGAATTGAACCCAGGTCCTCTGGAAAAGCAACCAGTACCCTTAACCACTGAGCAATTGCTCCAGCGTCAACACTTTGTTGCTTAAATTGCTTTTGCTAGATATCTAACATCTAGAGCCAGGCGGTGGTGGCGCACGTCCCAGCACTCGGGAGGCAGAGGCAGGAGGATTTCTGAGTTCGAGGCTAGCCTGGTCTACAGAGTGAGTTCCAGGACAGCCAGGGCTACACAGAGAAACCCTGTCTCGAAAAAAAAACAAAAAACAAAAAACAAAAACAAAAAATAAAGAACGAATCATGATCCTCCTTCGCCACATCCTGCATGTTGAGGGACAAGTGTCACCACCATCCCTGGTTTGTGTAGCGCTAGGATAGTTCTAGGGCCTCCTGTGTGAGGTGTGAGCCCCGTGTCCACACACATTTGGTCTCTGTATATATGGGCTGGGCTGGCCTGCCGTCCAAGCTGCACACCTACAGCTAGCTAGGTGCACGCACCGTCCCATCCACCCTCGCTGCCCTTTGACCTCACTGCTCCTGAATGGTGGTGGGAGTCATCTTCATTCACGGTAATGGGGTAGGGGGTCAGCGAGCGAGGGGGCTCGATGAGCAGTGGTGCTCGTGGTTAAGGCAGCAGACTTGAGGTCCATTCAGGGTCCCGTGTGGTGAAGGCAAGAATTCCCACAAGTGACTCTCTGACCTCCACACACTCAGTGACATACATATGTTCCTCACACATGTACACAAAGTACTAAAAGTTAAAAGCTTCAAAAAACACAAAGTCTTCTCATATTTGCTTTTGTTTTTAAGAAGGAATGAATTTTGCTGGGATGTGAATCAGTTCAGGAGAGTCCTGGAATACCAGACAGGACGAGGTTTTCCAATGAAGTCAGCCACCACTGGGAGAGGTAACCCTCCCTTCTGCCCAGCAAGACAAGTGTCACCTTGAGTTAGCATTATCGAGAACACCATTACATACTTATTTCCCCATGTGTCTGGAAGGAGGTACCCAGAAGAATGTCATTGGAACTGGTGAAAAGTCAGGACTCAGCTCTGCTGGGAAAGGATGCCAGTAAAGTGGTAAAAATAGGGAGCGGCGAGGTGTGAGGTGCCCCGTGACCCCAGCCATAAAACCTCATGTGGAGGGCTAGACAAAGGGGGCCAGCACCCTGCCACCCGGGACAGAAATGCCCAGAGTACATGTCAAACTCACATCCACCACATCCACCGAGCTGAACAGAGGCAAACTCACTTCTGACATCCTTTTCGCTCTTAGACTAGGTGAGAGCCACAAAACACAACCAAAGCCCAGACAGAGGGCCTCAGCGAGGAGCAGTGAGAACCTGGCCCAGTCAGAGGGCCACAGCGAG